CTTTGGTTTTGAGTTTCTGTTTACCTCAACTGTTCAAATTTGTTTCTTGTAGGCACCAGAATATTGGATTCAGTGTTTTAATCCATTTTACCACTTTGTGTCTCTTAATTGGTGCATTTAGACTTTTGACATAGAGAGAGATTATTATCATGTGTTTTGTGCCATCTTTTTGAAGAGGTTTGTTGTGTTTGTGGGGATTGTATTATCTTACAGTAGCCCCTTCAGTCCTTCTTAAAAGGTTGGTTTTGAATCTATGACTTTCCTGAATTGTTTGTTATACATGAAGTAGTGTATTGTTCCTTTGAGTTTGAATGAGAATCTAGCCAGATAAAGTATTCTTGGTTCATTTCATTGAGTTTTTTTCACTATATCCCACCACTTTTTTCCAGCCCAGATGGTTTCATCTGATAAATCTGCTATAAATCTATGGGATTTTCCTTTGTGTATGATTTCCTTCTTTGACCTTGCTGCTTGAAGTATTGTGTCTATTTATAGTATTCATCATTCTGATTGTGATATGTCTTGGAGAATTTTTATTTGGATCTGTTTTAGCTGGTACCCCACGGAATTCTTGCATCTGGATTCCTGCATTCTCCAGCTCTGGAAATTTTTCAGGAATAATGTCTTTAACTGTTACTACCTCATTGTGCTTGTCTTCCTGTCCTTCTGTTACTCCAGTGATTCTGATATTGTTCCTCTTGAATTCATCCCATACATCTCTTACTCCTATTGTATAATTTTGAGGTCTTTTTCCATCTTCTGTTGTTCCCTGTATGTTTTCTGCATCTCATATTCAAGCTGGCTTATATTGTCTTCAGTTATTGTCATTCTACTGTCAAGGGCACCCACTTAATTTTTAATTCGTCTACCAATTTTTTTATTACTGAAAATTCTGTTTGTAGGTTTCTTATTTCTGTTCTCATTTCTTCCTGTATTTTGTTGGCTGTCCATTGCATTGTTTCTTTCATATCCTCTGTATTTTATTGGATGTCTGTTTCACTGTTTCTTTGACCTCACTGAACATCCTTACTATTTCATATCTGAATTCTTTATCAAAGAGATTGTGTATGCGGATATTCCCTATTGAGGCTTCAGGGTCCTTCTCTTCATCCACTCCTTGTGTTGGGAATCTGCGCTATTTCCCCTTGTTCCTGTAGTAGTATGGAGTTGGATCTAAGCAGTTCACTATCAGTGTCCCCCTCTCACTGGCAGGGAGGACTTAAGGTGAGGTTAGTCGACCGTGGTCTTCTCTTTTCCCTTTAAGGATATTGCCTTTATTTTTGGTGCTCCTGTGTGTCTAAAATGGGGCCTCTAGCGCTGATTCAGGGGACATGTCCTTTTAGATTGGGTTTGTACAGATTCTTGTGTTCACCATTATTTTGGTGAGTTTTAGGAGTGTTTTGATTATAGTAGGCTAGTAGGCTATTGTAGTAATGTGATTGGGGCAGTCAGGCTGCCCTCATAAGAGTTTGGTAAAGGAAGCTGAGATATGGGTCCAATGGACTATGAAATCAGAAATTAACTGGTGGTCACGTGAGACTCACCCCAGAGCTACACCCTTCACTGTCAGGAAGGGACCCCATGCATTGGCACAGATCTTGGGTTATGGTTCAAACTCCAGAGCACTTCTCTTACTGAAGATGCCCCCTCTCTCCTAGGCACATATTAGGTCACCTTTAGCCTTGTTCACTGTGGTCACCTGACATGTTGGCCAGAAAGCCATGCTCCCTGCTGCCAGTGTTCGCCTATCATTTTATGAGGCAATATTTCCTCTGCTCATTTTTTAGTCTGTTTCCAAAATCCATGCAATGTTTATTACTATTTTTAATTAGTGAAATACCATTTGCTCGAGCGGGCCCAGTAACGTCTCCATTGGAGACTTTGTTGTTACTGTGTCTGGCATATCGAATACTCTCGGTAGCTTGCCAGGCTCTCCGAGAGGGGCGGAGGAATCAAACTCGGGTCGGCCATGTTGGCCGCTTGTAAGGCGAACGCCCTACCCGCTGTGCTATCGCTCCACTTACAAACTCTTGTGCTTTGGTTTCAGTTAAATAATGATCAAGTACTCATTCCTCCACCAGTGCCCACTCTCCACCATCAATGATCACAGTAAGTAGCCCTCTCATCCTCACACTCCATCCGCACCCCACCCCACCCCGAATTTGTGACAGGGCATTCCCTTTTTTCTCTCTCATTCCTTAAGGGTGCTGTGGTTTGCAATAGAGGTATTGGTTGGTCATCATGTTCTGTCTATAGTTTACTTTCAGCATGCATCTCACATCTCAAGCGAATCCTCCAAACACCCTTTACTTGGTGTTCCCTTCTCTATCTGAGCTGCCTTTTCCCCCAGCATGTGCTTATGGCTTCCAAGCCATGGAGCAGACCTCCTGGTACTTATCTCAACTATTCTTGGGTGTTCGTCTCCAATTCCATTACTTTATATTCCACAGATGTGTGCAATCGTTCTGTCTGTTCCTCTCTCTCTGGCTCATTTCACTTAAAATGGTATACTTTCCATGTAGAACCACTTGTATGTAAATTTATTGAGTTCATATTTTCTAACAGCTGCATAGTATTCCATTGTGTAGATGTACCAAAGTTTTTTAACCAGTCATCTGTTCTCGGGCACTCGAGTTTTTTCCAAATGTTGGCTAGTGCTGCAATGAACATAGAAGTGCAGATGTCATTTCGACTGTACTTTTTTGCCTCTCTGGGATATATTCCCAGGGGTGGTATTTCTAGGTCCAATGGGAGCTCAATTTCTGATTTTTTGAGAATCATTCATACTGTTTTCCGAAAGGGCTTAACCAGTCGGTATTCACACCAACAGTGAAGGAGGGTCCCTTTCTCGCCACATCCACATGAACACCGGTTGCTTTTGTTCTTTTGGTTATGGCCAGTCTCTGTGGTGTGAGATGAGATCTCATTGTTGTTTTGATCTGCATCTCCCTGATGATTAATGATGTAGAGCATTTTCTCATGTGCCTTTTTTGACATTCAGATTTCTTCTTTGAGAAAGTTTCTGTTCATTTCGTAACCCCATTTATTGATGGGATTTGATGATTTCTTCTTGTGGAGTTCAACTAGTGCTTTGTATATCCCTGATATCAACCTCTTATTGGATGGATATTGGGTGAATATCCTTTTCCATTCTGTAGACTGTCTTTGTATTTCGGTCACTCTTCCTTTTGAGGTGCAGAAGCTTCTTAGTTTAAGATAGTCCCATTTGTCTATCTCTGTTTTCACTTGTTTGGCCAGTTGCATGTCATCGTTGAAGATACCATTAGCTTCAATTTCGTGAAGGGTTTTGCCAAACTTGTCTTCAATGTATCTTGTGAATTTCTGTCTGATGTTGAGGCCTTTAATCCATTTTGATCTTACGTTTGTACATGGTGTTAGGTAGAAATCTGAATCCATATTTTTGCATGTGGTTGTGCAGTTATGCCAGCACCATTTGTTAAAGAGGCTTTCCTTGCTCCACTTCACATTTATTGCTCCCTTATCAAAGATTAGCTGATCATATATTTGGTGGGGGTTGTCAGTATATTCAACCCTCTTGCATTGGTCTGAGGCTCTGCCTTTGTTTCAGTACCATGCTGTTTTAATTATTATTGCTTTGTAGTAGAGTTTGAGGTTGGGGAGATTGATTTCCCCCATTTTCTTTTCCCCAAGAATTGCTTTAGCTATTCGTGCGGGTTTATTGTTCCATATGAATTTCAGGAGTGTTTGCTCTATTTCTTTGAAGAATGTCATGGGTATCCTTATAGGAATCACATTGAATTTGTACAATGCTTTGGGGCTTCTGGACTCTTTTCATCATTCTCTCCTCGTGTTGGGGAGTTGCGCTGTTTCTTAATGTTGTTGTGGTATTATGGAGACTGATGTGACACTGGATTGTTGGGTATGGATAAAATAACTGCGGCTGCGTGAGCAGCTTTGGGGATGAACAGGAAGGTGTTCAGGAGGTTGGGAGGCCTTGTATCCTAGAGGATGCCTGGGCCTTGGGCACAGGAAAGGTGGCATCCGAGGGTCGATTATTCACTAATCTGGGAGAGGGAAAAAACCGGCCTCAGCATTGGGGACAAATTGGAAGGTGCTTGGGGAGGTTGGGCGGCCCAGGGTCTAAGAGGATGTCTGGGGCCTGGGTGCCGGGAAGGTGGCGTCTTGGGGTCCTGTTTATTACTTTTGAGGTTGAGACTGATTCTCAAGTCTCCTGTGTGCTGTTGAATGTGTAACACAACAGATTTTAGGAATCACAGCTTCAATTATTTTGAACTTGAATAGACCTACAATCACTTTTGCACTTTTCCTGGGAATAAAATTACTGAGGAGGATTGAATTTCCATTCAACTCATGCCCATGAATTACTTTGAAGTCCTCTTTTGGCCTTCTAGGAAGTGGGAGGAAGAGATGATGCACAAACCATGAGGAGGATTTGCTTCATTTTGCTCCCAGGATTCTTCCAATTTTTTCACAGGGGTTAGACAGCCTCCAGCTACTGTCTCTCCTGGCTTGCTGGGACTGTCTCCATGAGGTTGTTTTCTTATTCTAAATCCTGACCTTTTGAATTGAGTTGAGGTTGTTTTCTTTTTAAACCTCCAAGTACCCCCAGGCTGTTTAAGAAATGTTCTCTAGGAACTGTTTGTTTTTCATTTACTCTGTGCTCTCTATTAGAGCCAAGAGAAAAACAAAAGAGCAAACGAGAAAGCTGAATTAGACTTCACACTTCAGAACTCAGTCCAGTTCTAGGAAATTTACCACAGCTGACCCTGGACAAACCATGTTATTTGTAAATAATTTATGAGTTAATCTTACCAGTTTATATTAAATTCTTTTTTTCAATAGTTACGATAGATATTTATTTAAAGTCATGTAGCTCAGATCAGTCAAGTAGCTCATGTAGCTAACCCATTTGAAGCTCAGATCAGTTCAAGATTGCACATTTCAGCTTTAACCAACTTCATAAAACTCTTTGAGGTCAGTTGCATCCAGATTATGGATTATTTCTTTGCCCACTCTTCTCTATCTTTTCTTTCCTGAATAACCTCTTTCAGATATGGTTCAAAGTAGAATTTATCCTCCTCGTATTTTGTCCACTGCTCCTTGGGCAGGGTCTGCGCCCTCATGGTCAAGTACAGGGTTCTCTTGATGTGGGACATGCTGTTGTTGTACGGGTTCTTGGGAAGCCTCCTGATGGCTTTCTTTGCGTCCGTGTCCTTATACATTGTATGGTCATGCATTAACCCCAGTTTGTTGAACCTGCTGCTTTGTAATACCATTTCCAAAGGCCTCCAGCCACCAGCCCGAGGCTGCAACTGTCTGCCTGCCCACCACGATAACCTGAGAGCTATTAGATTCTTAAGATTAACTAGAGCAAGAGATTCTTATATGGAATGTCTTTTTATTTTTATAACTGAGACATGGGTTACTTAGCCTATTTAAAGGTAAAAAAACCCTTAAGTTTAAAGAAGCTAAGTGACTTGTACAAGATTCATTACTTGGAAAATAGTGGGCCAAGAATTGAACATTTTTAACCACAAAATTATCAATGTGTATTTTGAGAACAGAAGGTGAAACTTTGGTTTGAACTTGCTTTGGCCTAAAAAGTACAGGCATGAGGAATTTCCCAGAGTAAATAACTGGGTATCCTGCTCAGAGTTAACATGGGAGCTGAGCAAACTTTGAGTCACTCTTTTACTATATTACCATCCCTGTGTGTGAGTCATATGGGACGGTAACACTATGAAAATATAGCTTGTGATTGCTCTGAGAACATAGGAAAGACAAGAAAGGATGCCATGTATATGGACTAGAAGAAAAAGTGAGCACCATTGAACTAATGTTCCTCTTTTGTTCAGACACAGAATAATTTGAAGCAGGTGAAAAGAAATGTCTAAACACTGCAACTAATTGATGTCAGCGGCAGTATGAGTAAGGGGATAATGTGGACACAGAAAGAATATTCTACACTGCTTTCAGATCCTGAAACAAATAAGTTATATCCAAAGAGACCTATAGGAAACTTCAGTGACATACAGCATATTGGATCTGAGAGATAGCATAGGACTTATCAAGCATGTGAGGCTGGTCCTATTTTGGCATCTTATACCTTCCAAGATATGGCCCAGAAACACTGCAATCCTTTGGCACTAGCACTGAACCATTTGATTGGCCAAGTATCACTGGCAGTGGTTCCTGGTTCCCTGAACACCACTGAGGAGGCCCCCATAAAATAAACAAAATTTTAAAATAATCTTATTGACAGTGTTGGCATGTCACAGTCACAGTCACAGTCTTCCCGCTGTTCATCGATTTGCTCGAGTGGGCCCAGTAACGTCTCCATCATGAGACTTGTTGTTACTGTGTTTGGCATATCGAATACGTCACGGGTAGCTTGCCAGGCTCCGCTGTGCAGGCGAGATACTCTCGGTAGCTTGCCGGGCTGTCCGAGAGGGGCGGAGGAATCAAACTTGGTCGGCCATGTTGGCCGCTTGTAAGGCAAACATCTTACTGCTGTGCTATCGCTCCAGCCCAGTGTTGGCATATAGTGAAAATAATTATTTTTAAGACGCATGCTGATATATATTTCCCAGATTGCCAAATGTAACCATTCAAAATGCTTAAGTCAGTCATTTATTGTGTTATCTTGTAAACTATTTTCAGAATATTTCAGCTTTGGGTGCACATGGTATGCCTCAATTCCAGTTCCCCGTAGATTGAGGATGAAAACCGGTGCCCTGGGGTCTAGTTAGATGTGCGACTATATTTTTTTTATCACTTCATCAATCCCTGGGTTGCCAGAGATTAGTGGGAGCAGGCAGAGGATCTCTGTTCCCGGGTCCTGTTGAGCCTGCAAGGTCACAGAGTTCTGCTAACCTGGTTCTGTGGGGCTTCACTCATGCGTAAGTCTTGGACCAAGCATCTGGAAAGAATCCTGGAGTGTGACTGCAACTGGGTAGTGGAGGAAAGCCCCACCCTACCCTGCCCTTTCCGTTTCCACCAATCTCCAGTGACCCAGGGATTACACACAGAAGACCCACCCTACCAGTACCAGATAAATACCTCATTGGCAGACCTCCACTACCTTCTCTACCTCCACTACCCAGCTACCGCCATGCTCCAGGAAACTTTACAGCCATGCGACACATATTCAGACACATAATACCCATCTTCCAAGCTTACTACACCATATTTGATGGGGTTCAAATATAGTTTGAACCATGGGAACACCTACAAGGGTGATTAGAGGACAGTGTAAAAACCCCGAATCACCGCCCCTCCCCAACAGGTACCTGCCTGGCAACCCCTTGCCCACTTTCAAGGAGGCCGTGCCCCCTAAAGTGGTGACCATGCCCAAGTAGTCGCTGCCCATCCCCAGCAGGTCTATGGACTAGCATCTGGAATGGCTGGTGGCATGGTCACCACTTTAGGGGGCGCAGCCTCCTCAAAAGTGGATGTGGCCTCCACAAAAGTGGGCATGGCCTACTCAAAGGTGGGTGCGACCTCCCAAAAGTGGGTACAGCCTCCCCAAAAGTGAGCGTGGCGTCCTCAAAAGTGGGCATGGACTTCTCAGGGTAGGCGGGTGCTCACATGGCCACAGTTGTGCTAAGAGGAAAATTTATAGCGTTGTAAGCATTCCTAAGAAAAGAAGAAAGGGCCTACATAGATAACCTACCCACACAGTTCAAGATCTCAGAAAAAGACCAACAAAAGAAACCCAAGCCTGGCCAAAGGATAGAAATAATAAAACTTAGAGCAGAAATTAATGACTTGGAAACCCAAAAAATAATCCGAAAGATCAACGAAACCAAGAGCTGGTTCTTTGAGAAAATAAATAAGATTGACATATTAGCAAGACTTACAAAGAAAGAGACCCTAATAAACGGACTCAGAAATAAAAAAGGCGACATCACAACAGAAACCAATGAAATTCAAAAGATCATCAGAGACTCTTTGAGAGTCTGTATGCCATGAAACAGAGAACCTAGAAGAAATGGATAAATTTCTGGATTCCAATAATCTCCCAAGATTGAACCAGGAAGACTTGAGATATCTGAATAGACCCATTCATAGCGAGGAAATTGAAGTGATGATAAAAAGTCTTCCCAAAAACAAACGCCCAGACCCTGACAGATTCACTAGTGAATTTTTCCAAACATTCAAAGAAGACCTTTTGCCACTTCTCCTCAAGCTTTTCCAGGAAATTGAAAAAAAACAGGAACTCTTTCAAACAGCTTCTATGAGGCAGTTATCTCCCTAATAACGAAAGCAAACAAAAATACCACCAACAAAGAAAACTATAGGCCAATATCCTTGATGAACATGGATGTGAAAATCCTCAACAAATACTAGCAAATAGAATCCAACAATTCATCAAAAAGATCATACACCACAACCAAATGGGATTCATCCTGGAGATGCAAGGATGTTTTAACATTTGGAAATCAATCAACATAATCTATCATATCAAAGAAGGTAAAGATAAAAACCATATGATCATATCAATAAATGCAGAGAAAGTTTTTGACAAGATCCAGCACCTGTTTATGATGAAAACTCTCACCAAAATGGGTTTTGAAGGCACTTTCTTCAAGATAGTCAAAGCCATCTACGACAAACACATGGCATGCATTATCCTCAATGGGGAAAAATTAAGGGTCTTTCCTCTAAGGTCAGGGACAAGACAAGGCTTCCCACTATCACCACTTCTGTTAACATAGTACTGGATGTACTTGCAATTGCCATTAGGCAAGAAAAGACATTAAAGGCATCCATATAGGAAAGGAAGATATCAAGCTCTCACTATTCACAGATGATATGATACTATACCTCAAGAATCCTAAATCCTCTACCAAGAAACTCTGGTAACAATATACTTGTATAGTCAAGTTGTATAGTCAAGGCTATCCAATCAATGCCCAAATATCCCTGGCCTTTCTATACGAAAATAATGAGAGAGAGAAAAGTGAAATGAAAAAATAATCCCGTTCACAATCGTGCCCTAGAAAATTAAATACCTCAGAATCAGCCTAACTAAAAGAGTAAAGGACCTCTACAAAGAAAATTACAAAACGCTACTCCATGAAATAAGAGAGGACATGAGGAAATGGAAACATTCCCTGCTCATGTATAGGAAGAAATAACATCGTCAAAATGGCAATATTCCCAAAAGCAGTATACAGCTTCAACGCAATCCCCATAAGGATACCCATGAAATTCTTCAAAGAAATAGATCAAGCACTCCTGAAATTCATGTAAAACAACAAACGCCCATGAATAGCTAAAGCAATTCTTGGGTAAAAGACGTGGAGCGTCATTACCCTCCTAACCTCTAACTCTACTACAAACTCGTAGTAATTAAAACAGAATGGTACTGGAACAAAGCCAGGGCCGAAGAACAATGTAAAAGGGTGGAATATCCGTATACACAACCCCAAATTTATAAAGATCTTGTTTTTGATAAGGGAACAAGAAATGTGAATTGAAACATGGAAAGCCTTTTCAACAAATAGTGCTGGCATAACTGGACAACCACATGCAAAAAAAAAATGGGCTTAGACCTCGACCGAACAGCATGCACCAAAGTCAGATCAGAATGGATTAAAGATCTCAATATCAGGCCAAAATCAATAAGATACATTGAAGACAAGGTCGGCAAAACCCTTCACGATATTGAGGTTAACAGTATCTTCAAAGACGACACTAACCATCCAAGTGGAAACAGATAAACAAATGGGACTATATTAAATTAAGAAGCTTCTGTACCTCATAAGATACAGTGACCAGAATACAAAGACAATCTACAGAATGGGAAAGGATATGTAACCAATACCCATCTGATCAGGGGTGATATCAAGGATATAGAAAGCACAGGTTGAACTCTACAAGAAGAAAACCTCTAACCCCATCAAAAAATGGGGTGATGAAATGAACAGAAAATCTCACAAAGAAGAAATTTGAATGGCAAAAAGGCACATGAGAAAATACTCTACATCACTAATCATCAGGGAGATGCAGATCAAAACAACAATGAGATATCATCTCACACCACAGAGACTGGCCATAACCAAAAGAACAAAAGGAAATGGTGTTGGCGTGGATGTGGCGAGTAAGGGACACTCCTTCACTGCTGGTGGGAATGCTGACTGGTTCAGCCCTTTTAGAAAACAGTATGGACGATTCTTAAAAACTCAGAAGTTGAGCTCCCATTTGACCCAGCAATACCACTCCTGAGAATATATACCAGAGCAGCAAAAAGTACAGTTGAAATGACATCTGCACTTCTATGTTCATTGTAGCACTCCACAATAGCCAAAATTTGGAAAAAACACAAGTTCCCGAAAAGAAATGACTGGTTAAAGAAACTTTGGTACATCCACAGAATGGAGTACTATGCAGCTATTAGAAAAGATGAAGTCATGAAATTTACATACAAGTGGTACTACATGGAAAGTATCATGCTAAGTGAATTGAGTCAGAAAGAGAGGGACAGCCATAGAAATATTGCATTCATCTGGGGTATATAAAGTAACAAAAGAGGAGACTAACACCCAAGAATAGCCGAGATAAGTACCAGGGGGTTCACTCCATGACTTGGAGGTCAGCCACTCATGCTGGGGGAAAAGTCAGCTCAGAAAGAGAAGGGAGCACTGAATTAAGAGTGTTAGGTAGAACATCCCAGGATGACAGATGCAGGCTGAAAGTGGACTATAGACCTGAACATGATTGCCACTCTATGCCTCCTTTGCAAACCACAGCACCCAAAAGGAGAGAGAAAACAAAAGGGAATATCCTGCCACAGGGGTGGGGTGGGTTGGAGGGATGGGGAGGTGGGAGGGATACTGGGAGAATCGAGGTGGAGAATGGGCACTGGTGGAGGGAATGGTACTCAATCATTGTATAACTAAAACCCAAGCACATAATTTGTATGTCTATAACTGTACTTCATTGTGTTTTGCTAATAAAAATTTCAAAAAAATATTAAAAACCTCTATCTCTCTTGGAGAGCCTGGCATACTACCGGGAGTAACCCTCCTGCACGGCAGAGCCTGGCCAGCTATCCTTGGCATATTTGATATGCTACAAATGGTAAATACAATGGGTTTCATTCCCCTGACCCTGAAGGAGCCACCAATATGGCAGTGTCAAGAAGGATGAGGAAGGAGAGGCTGATAAAATCGCAAGATCAAACTAGGCTGCCAAAATGAAGAAGGACAAAAATCACTGTCTGTACTTTCAATGCACGTATGCTGGCATCAGATGCATCCATTGAGGAACTGATGGCACATGTGCGAAAGATCAAGTATGATATCATTGGTTTGACTGAGATGAGAAGGTATCAATCACATCACGCCATTTTTGACCCTGGAGAAGAACTGTTCCTCGGAACATGTGACAAAAGAGATGGTGTCAGTGTTCTTGTCAACACGAACTTGGCCATGAGCATGGATTCATTTAAATTCCTAACAAACCGAATCGGACCATTACACTTGAACAGATGTGGCTCACTGCTGGCAGTGTCTATCTTCGTTGTCTATGCACCAATATCCAATTATGATGATGGAGAAAATGAGAAGATCTACATGGTCCTGGAGAAGTCTTATAAAGAAGAACACACCTTCTACAAGATTACTGGTGGTTATTTTAATGCCAAGATAGGACCAAGAAGATAAGCCGAAGAACTCCACATCAGGACCCATGGTATGGCCTAGATTGGAAAGAACAGGGTGAGAGACTGTCTGAATTCATCATGTCACCAAGACCATCAATGGTTAAATCACTGTTCTAGAAGGCTGAATCTGAATGTTGAACACGGGAGTCTCCCAGTGGACAGTTCCATAACGAAATTGACCACACCATATTCAATCGACAGTTTTGCCTGACCAATGTTGCTGTTGTCCCAAAATTCCAAATGGGATCGGACCACCATCTCCTTCCTGCAAAATTCTACTTCAAGGAGCAGGAAGAAGGGCTTTCAAAGTTTAAGAAGAGAACTCCCAGAACGACCACCAACTGGGAGCTCTTTGGAACAATTGCTGCAACATGGGAAGACACCATCATTGACAACATTGACAAAGAATAAGATTTACTGGTTCAGCACCTCCATAATTCTGTGAGGAACAATGAGAGAGAGATAGCCACAAAAGATGCCTATCTTCAAAAACTCTTGCCAACATGGCTTGGTGAAAGCCTCAGGCAGCTGCAAGCGAATGTCTGGGCTCGCAAAGCAGGGCAAAGAAGTGATAAAAGAATACCTCAAAGAGAGAAGAGCAGTAGTGCAGGCAGATGTGGCAGAAGCCAGGAAAAGCATTCACAATGCCCACCTGTCCTTCACCAATAGAAGACCAAGATGAGTGCCCTCTGACGTCCTAA